GTCCCTCCGGAAAGCAGATAAGGGTGGGGAGGGAAAGATGTCTTTGGTGGTGGGGTCGGATTGCAGATGGCGGAAGTGTCGGAGGATGATGCGTTGGATCCGGAGGTTGGTGGGGTGGTACGTGAGGACGAGGGGGATTCTGTTTTGGTTCTTATTGCGTGGACGGGGTGTGAGGGATGAGGTGCGGGAGATGTGGGAGACACGGTTGAGGGCGTTCTCGACCAATGTGGAGGGGAAGTTACGGTCCTTGAAAAACGAGGACAACTGAGATGTACGGGAGTGGAATGCCTCATCCTGGGAGCAGATGCGGCGGAGGCGAAGGAATTGGGAATAGGGGATAGCATTTTTGCAGGAAGGTGGGTGGGAGGAGGAGTATTCTAGGTAGCTGTGGGAGTCGGTGGGCTTGAAATGAATATCGGTTTCTAGGTGGTTGCCCGATATGGAGACAGAGACGTCCAGGAAGGGGAGAGAGGTGTTAGAGATGGTCCAGGTAAACTTAAGGTTGGGGTGGAAGGTGTTAGCGAAGTGGATGAACTGATCAAGCTCCTCGTGGAAGCACGAGGCAGTGCCGATACAGTCATCAATGTAACGGAGGCTCGGGGACCGCTTTGCAGAACACCTACGCTCGGTTCGCAATAAACAACTGCACCTCCCAGTCGCGAACCATTTCAACTCCCCCTCCCATTCCTCAGACGACATGTCCATCCTGGGCCTCCTGCAGTGCCACAACGATGCCACCCGAAGGTTGCAGGAACAGCAACACATATTCCGCTTGGGAACCCTGCAGCCCAATGGTATCAATGTGGATTTCACAAGTTTCAAAATCTCCCCTCCCCCTACCGCATCCCAAAACTTGTCCAGCTCGTCCCTGCCTCCCTAACCTAATCTTCCTCCCACCTATCCCCTCCTCCCACCTCAAGCCGCACCTCCATCTCCTACCGACCAACCTCATCCCGCCCCCTTGACCTGTCCATCCTCCCTGGACTGACCTATCCCCTTCCTAACTCCCCACCTACACTCACCTTTACTGGCTCCATCCCCGCCTCTTCGACCTGTTTGTTTCCTCTCCACCTATCCTCTCCTCTATCCATCTTCTATCCGCCTCCCACTCTCTCCCTATTTATTTCAGAACCCCCTTCTCCTCCCCCTTTTCTGATGAAGGGTCTCGGCCCGAAACGTCAGCCTCTCTGCTCCTATGATGCTGCTTGGCCTGCTGTGTTCATCCAGCCCTGCACCTTGTTGTCTCGGATTCTCCAGCATCTGCAGTTCCTACTACAGCTGGATCTCAGCTAGGTTTTTGGACACAGTCAAATGGCCACATGGAGTGATCAGGGTCGGGGAATCCGTCTCAATATAGTCTGTCAACTGGGCCATGGTGGTTCCTGCAGATTGAAACCAATCTGTCCAGGAATTATTGGTGAGCTACTTGGGAGCTGCACACACATTAGTCAGGGCTTTAGTCTGTTATCAGTTGGGGCAATCATTCCAAATTGTTTGGGGGTGGGCAGTGGTCACTTCTGGGGTTTGCTCACTGAAGGCTAAGGAAGCTCATCAGGACTCACTGGTGGGGAAATCAAGTGTGGGAATTAGAGGAAGAATGCTAAGATACACAGGGAACAATAACTATCAAGTGGGGACAATTCGACAAATGAAGATGGGCAATGATAGAGCATGGGAGGACTTAGGGTACTGAGGGAAAGGTGGATGGGGAAGTCATTTATGATCATCATCACCCTAGCATGGATAAGGGTACTGTGCATAACAATGTTTGGCTGTAGGTCTGGGACTCACTGGAGGAGATAATGAGTTAAATAAAAGAATTGAGTGGGTAGGTTCAAACCTGATGGGTTTGATAGGGAGTGCAAGGCACAAAAGAGCATGATGGTTTGATATGTCACTAGTGTTGTTTTCCATCCTCATCCAAATTCCAAATATACAATGAGACTGATAAGTAGTGTGTTCCTTCAAACGATGGACATGATACTGACCTGGGTAATAATTTTGAATCAGGCTGTCAGGGTCTGGTACTGTGACCTCCTCTGGTGATCCAGAGGAAAGAGGACAGCTCTTCTCTCCACCTCCCTGTCCTCCAGGACTGGTCCCTGTTCATGAAATGAGGTGCCAATTTAATTTGATAAGCCACAATTCTTGGAGATCCTCGCACACTGAAACTCCCTGAAATTTATATTTAGGCAAATTTGGGAAAATTCAATGCAGTGAAACAGTCTGCTTTCATCTGTATTAAAATATCTCAGAGCATAGTTGTACAGGATGTTGGTAACACCCTTTTGCAGCCATTGCTGCAGGCTTTGTCATGCTTAATCTAACTCTACTGCAAATGGTTGCTGCAATCATCTAACAAGCATCTGTTAGTTTGGCTAATCTGGAGTTACTCGTCCAGATCTGTGGCTTATCATGGGCATCCCTCTGTTGGATTTAATCTTCTGCTGGCTGGAATGGCCGACCACTTTTCACAGCCAATGTTCAAGTTATCTGCATTTTTATTCATAACTATATAGTCAAAATCCCAATTATTTACCTTTTTGTCCACTGTTCACCAGAATATTTCTGCAGCTGGCAGGCAGTTTGTTTAGTCATTCAGTGCCAGATCTGGTTGCACTACCAGGTCCCATTGTCATCTGCAAGGACAACTTGCTATATTTAGATCATCCTGAGTTGCAAAAATAACACCCTGCTGCTTTTCTCAAACTGGATTCTTTTCTGTACTGCATATCAAATTCATACAACCAAGCATGGATGAGAATTGGCTGTGACATTGACCAAGAAAAACATTAATTTGGTTCTGTTTTGACAATGAAATTGAATTGATACCTTGCTTCATTAGCATATTTAATATGGATGTAGCTAGTCATTCTTTCTGTGATCTCTTTTGACAATGCCTCAATGTTTTTTGGACAAGATTTGTGAATTTCTGTTTTCCTCTCAGCAGTTCCATTGTTGCCATTGGTTTGTATATGGTTCACTTGACTATGTACATAATACATATTGGATGAATGGGCATGGACGTGTCATGGGCAGTATAAGAGACAATGTGGAGTGGCTAAGTGGTCATGAGTTGGTATAGAGGATATAAGGGGCTGTCAGAATGTGTGGGATGATGGGTTGGCATTGATTGGAACACAGAGGACATGGAGAAGACCTTTTGGCCTTGCCTTTCAAAAGTTTCACGAAACTATGATTCATGACTGCTCTGAGGGACCATGTATTTTGTGTCATGGAAGAGTTGGTTTGAATCCATGAAAATTACAGAGAGCTAGGAGATGTCTATCCTCACAAGGAGCCAGTCTGGTTGAGAGTGTAGAGTGTGGGCTCACTGTCTGTGCCTTTACGACATCCGAGCAAATACTGAGAATGGATCAAGAATCCTGAAATTGAATCCCATCGCCATTTTTAAAAGGCTCCAGTATTATTCCAACTCCATGGTTATCCAGTGACTAAGTTCAGGGCAAATATAATGGTAGAAACTTGAGACTTGAGTTTCTTAGTTTTTATCTAGTATATTGAAAGTGATTTCATTTTGACTTTCAGGTTTTGTTAAAGTATCTCAATTTTCTCAACTTAACACTCAAGATCTACCATCTGAATTACCTCCATGGATGTGAAACCAGGAAAGGGCAGGTAAAGTTAAATGGGAATGTACAAAATATAACAAATACTAATACAACTTAAACAAGTGCTTAGTAATACTTTGCACAATAAATGTGATAGGTGAGGTTATCTGTTTAAACATAGGAACATAATATTTGGAATGAAAACTCAGATAGTTTGAGTTGTAAGTTGACTTCAGTTATATCAGACAATAGCTGGGCAATTGAATCCACACTACAATTGATGGGGATCATAGGTGGGGGCTCTATGCATCATCGTCTCTGTACATCTATGTTTTCATCACTATGTCTTAAAAGATAAACATAACTAGCTACTTCATAAAACAGAGCTCCACAGAGTAGTCTTAGTAATTATAGAATTAAAATTATAATTATAAAATTAGCTACTTCATTGAACAGACCTCCACAGAAGTTTACTAACGCCCGTTAAGGGACAAAAGTGCCATCCTTACCTGATCTGGTCTACATGTAACTCCAGGCCCACAGCAATGTGATTAACTCATAACTGCCCCTCTGAGCAATTAGGGATGGACAATCAATGCTGGCCTAGTCAGAGATACCTTCATCCCATGAATGATTAAAGAAAAATATGGGAGCGTAAATAGATAATGTCATTAAAACAGGCAAATAATAATTCTTGGTTTTGATCCTGCAGCATATATTCTCAAACCACAGTATACATACAGCTGAGGGTACATAAGATATTCCAGCATTGTGACGCAGTGACATCCTAGGAGTGAGATATGTCATGGTGGTGTCTGACTTGAAGGAGAATTTGCAGGCAATGGTATTCCCATACATGTGCTGTCCTTGTTCTTTTACATGGTGGCTGTCACAGGTTTAGAAGGTGCCCTGGTGAGGTCCTCCAGTG